TCCCCTCGAGCGCAGTAATGTTGATGCTGGGTGTAAATAGGTGAGCGTTGTATTTATGACGTGTTGAAGGATTAGAGAGTCGGTAAAGGTTGTGTACTGTACGAGACCTAGAAAAAAAAAAAAGAAAACCATCGTATAGCTTGAGAATTCAATGAAGTAGTATTCAAGTGTGTGAATTTGGTCGATGGACGATGTATAGAGATAATGATAATAAGGATGTGGAAAGATAAATAATTCGGGAACGTGGATGCGTGCAACGAAACCAACCAATGGTACAAATAAAAAAAAGAAGTACCTATAAAAAATTTCTCACGGGACAAAAAGGGAGCAATCTTGGTGTGTATTCACATACGTACCCCTTACAGCTAGCACGGCCGATCGAATGTAGACAAAAACAAAACAATCAACAGTAGAGAAGATACAATATTACAATAAAAAAGACAGTAAAGACTCTCTATAGTGTAATATGATGTATACGGTGTCCCTATTTTTCTCTTGTACATCTCGCGCGAGAGAACAAGATAGCACTGCACACGTGTGGTAAAATGATTGTATAGTGAATAGATATAAAGAAAGTAGAGAGAGAGCGCGAAAATGCCTAACGGATTAGCAGCTCGTAACCACCACACAACACACACACTATGCGGGGTCATCAACATTGCGGCGTCTCTTACTCTGTAGCTCTGTACAGCTACGGTACATGGTAACCCACACATGAGAGTGTACATTATAGGTTCGTGCATATACATTGTACAAATGCACGCCTGCTGTTGCTATAGCTTCTTTTGGCAGGTTAAAAGCTCCCTCGGCCCGCACGTATAATGTATCAGAGACACGTATGTCGGAACATTTGCGCCAATCGAGATTTCACATGGTTGTATAGTAAATCCACGTATATCTGGCGCAACGCTCATCCGAAAAAATTCTCGTAGAGCTCGAGTAACTTTTGACCAACAGGAAGAAAGAAAAGAAAAGCAATGTCCACTCTTATCACCGATTTCCGAAACAAGTTTCAAAATCTTCTGTATCATATACACCAGAGATCGGTATGTCAAAAGTAACCCGCGTTCTCGTATGTATACAAGAGAAGAGGAGGGGGGACGATGATGATGATGATGATAGGCACCGGCTCGCTTGGCGGTTAAATATACACGTGTGCGCGCTCGCGCGTTCCCAAAATACGTGGCGTGCGCGCACCGCCGACGAGACCCAACAGCAGAGCGGTAGGTACGCTACCTCGTCTTCAACGCCGAGAAATCGGTCGAGCCAAGAGAGTCTCGAAGTTGATGCTGCTGAGATACCTTCAGTGTCTGGTGTACTCGCCACTGCCGCGGGCACGGATATATTGTTTCGAGGGGCCGCGCACCGTGCGATTTTCTCCGGATTGTACTTACCGATAGCAGCGGTTTGTGTGCGTATCGTCTCAGTGCGGGGCTGTGATTTGTCTTTTTTCCCTACTCTATCTGTCCCCAAAGGGGTTCTGGTGTGTCCTAGTGGACGAATCGACGCATTTTTTACGCCATCGTGAAAATAGGGGTTTCCCGCAATCTGCACTTTGTGGTTGGACGTAAATTTAGATCGGCGGCGATCGAAAAGGCAGAGCGGTGTTTTGCATTTTTCCTCGAAACGCGACTCTTGTAAATATGGTCGTGTACTTCCTGCCTCGTTAATATTCGCTGAGATTCGCGAACTATACAGACTCTATATTGCTTTTCATCTGCAATGTTGATTTTTAAGTGAAAACATCGCGACCGATCCGCAACCGATCCGTACGTATATACATAACCCAAGGGAAATTAAGACTCGTCTATTTTTGACTCCCAATAAAACGCAACATCCAAATCTCACGTGGAAAGAAAAAGGGAAAATTATTTTTATCATCAACACACGTAATTTCCTCCAATTAACCCCAAAGAGACAAACAATGTGCAAATGCAAGTCGGGAGCAGCAGTAGTCCACTGACCTCCTCCCGATATAACGCGACGCGGGTCGTGTGTCTCTAAAAATAACAATACTGGAAATAATCGTAAAATCCGACCGTTCCATGCACACACACGCGTATACAAGAGATTCAGATCGTTACTTTTAATTATAGAATAAGCATCGAGAGAGAGAGAGAGCGTGAGTCTTTATCGCCGGCACGCGCGCCCGATCATCCGCCCACCCACTTATCGTCTTTCGTCGGCCGCAGTACCACTGCAGACATCGGCGAGAAACAAAAAGAGCCCCGAGAGTAGTAACCCTTGGCCCTTTGGTTCGCACGTCGCAGTCGTGAACTCTCATCGACAGGTCTCGGGCTCGGAAAAGTAAAAGAAAAGCCTGCGCTTCTCTATGTAGCTTGGCTCGTCCGACCGATCGCGTATCACGTTACAATCGCGTGAGCATCTCTTTCTCGTATAGTTGTACATTTTTACCGATCATACATAATTGACGGTATGCCGTTGAAAATCGAGAGTGGCAGCTACGACGTGAACAGGAGGAACAAACGGCCCGACGGTGGTGGCGGCGCGCCCAACAAAAAGCTCTCCAGGTTCTCGGTCTGGAAGCTACACTGGCGCCGCAGGTATACGACGGATCACATAATTACTCACCATTGCTTGTCTTTACGCGTGTGATGTGTTGTTTTTTTCTTCTTCTCCCTCTACTTTTGAAAAAATACTCGCTGTTGTTGCGCGCGTCGTCTCTTTCTTACATGTATGCGTGTGTTTTGTTTTGGCTCCGATCTAACACGCATGCGATCGGCTGTACAAGAAAGGTAGAAAGAATGACGACTGGCAGTGGCAGCACGCCATTGAAGCTTGAGGGATCGTGCAGTTTTTTTTCTGGCACGAGTGTGACTCCGCAGCTTTTTAGAGTGTGTTCAGGGTTGCAGCGTCGCCATGTGCCGCGACGGTGCTTTCGAGTTGATCGTCATGGTTTTGGTAAAGCTCAGTGGAATCGAGCTTCGCGTCGTTTTCAGGAAAAAGTGAGTGCACCTCTCCTAGAAGGGTAATTGTGGGATTATTGGGAGTTTTTGCCGATCACGAGGCTTGTGATCGCTAAAAACAATTCCACTCCGCGATCAAAGTAGAACGCGAGGAGCCACGATCTTTTTTTTCCCTCGCAGCGGTACTCGATCTGAATACGTGAATATTCAATCGGCGTCATTGAAACACCCACTTTTTAAATCGGTACTACGGCTGGGAAATCGTCGAGCAAAATACGACCTTTTTTTTATTGTGTCTCACGTTTCATCGTAGTGATTTTGTTCAATAACTTTTCTCGAAAGTGTGGGTACTTTATTTTTTTAATTCATTCGAAAAAAAAAAAAAAAAAAAAAAAAAAAAAAAATCATTAGGCTCCCAAGTGGATGAGCACGCGTTTATATGATAAAACTTGGGTTTATTTCCATACGAGCCACATTGTAAACTCTTTGATTAAAGAGAGAACTCATTTTTAGTAACTCGCCCTCAACTCAACAAAAAAAGATCCCATGCAAAAAAACTATACATCGAAAAGATAATAAGATTCTCCGCTCTCACGACTCGCAGCAAAAGCATCAGGAAAATCGGATTAAAAAAAATTCTCCTAAACGTAGGGATATCATTCTCAATCTGTATATCCCCAACATTGCACGCAGTACTATTTTTAAGCTAACTCCTCTTCACACGCACGTGTGTATGTACATACACCCGCATTAATATATATTTTATTTATCTACACGTACGACGCACACACGTATTATATGCATACCCACCAGCACGCTACTATAATATATAAGCAAACAAGCGCGAGCGCACTTAATTAATTTATTGTATGGATTCCGATGTATGCAATGTATATACATATATTTTTCTAGCTGTACATTGTGTGTAACATTTTTAGCATTGTACTTTTTTTTTTTTTTTTTTTTTTTTTTTTTACATAGCAATTATGACAATACCACTCGAAAATATTGATGTGCACATTATTATTATTATTATTATTATTATTATTTTTATTATTATTACTATTATTTATACGCTGTATGCGCTACGCTATACCTCGCATAATACTATATGTACAAAATTTATGCGTACATGCAACAAATAAAGTGTAACGTGATTGAATATAAAAAGGCACGTGATTTTTATTGTTGTTAACAATTAACAAGTTTAACGATGTCAACGAAGAGAAGAGAGGTGACAAACGCTCAGGAAAAAACCGCGTAACGAGACTTGTTATCATCGTGTATACTTTAGATCAATGAATGTGAATGTTATGTAATAATATATATTTGTGAAATACCATGTTCTTATGGTTTTTGACGCGTAAATGCATCGCTTATCTCTTCATTAAACTTCTAACGATTGGCAAGTAATTAATATTCACTCTAAAATACAAGCATTTGTGACCGCTCACTTGTAGTCCACTATATAGTATTATCCGGTGAAAAAAACTGGGCTATGAGCAAGGCCAAATTTATATATACAAAAAAAAAAAAAATATCTGAGTATCCCGATTCACACCCTTTTGTTCTTTTTGAAATATACATGTATCGATTTTACGTGACATTGTAGTTTTGACGGACACTCGGTATCGAACCATTCGTATGAATTTTTTCGGCGAGGTATTCAGTCTGACAACTGATCCACCCCAAACACGATAATTTCCAGTATTATATTCACCTACAAAGTAAACTCTTTTTGTTAACATTCATGAAATATTTTTCTCGGCAAATTCGTTTTTACATTGCTACTTGATAAAACGTGTATTTTAAAGGCATTTTTAATATCACGGTGATCACACGAATAATCACAGATGGTCGGATTGTTTTCAGTATACTTAATGACCAAAAGGCAATGATTTTTTCCTGGGTGTTTCAAGTACTAAAAGGTAGAGAAACCCTCGAACTCCCCGCGTGCATCATATACAGAACAACCGCTGCATGCCAGTAAGCGAGTAGCAAAAAGTAAAAACATGAAAACGAAAAGGATCGAAGCAAAAACAACAACAAAACCCGTCTTATCTGGACACACAGTGCGCACGAGGATCGCGGGAGCTCGGAGGAGCGACGCGCGGCCGCGAGGCCCAACAGCGTTAGCACCACCGGGGCAGCGGCCGACTCCAGCGTAGGCAGGCGCGAGGTCGCGGGCCTCCTCAATCGGCCCGACAGCCCTGGCGCTTCCCTGCCCCGCACCAGCCGGCGCTCCAGGCCGCACTCACTGGCCGTCCAGCCGCTCAACTACCAACGCCTCGACCCGGACCAGCAGCTCCTTCGCGAGCACCAGCGCCAGGTCTTAGCGTCCGATAGGGTGCCGCCACCGCCACCGAGGGTTAATATCGTCGTGGCCCCGGGCTCGGGCAAGAGAGGGCCGGATCCTGGCGGCAAGCATCCAAGCATGACCAGCCAGGAGAGCATCGGCAGCTGCAGCCTCGACGTCGAGAAATCCGCCTCCGACCGATCAGGTTGGCAGATTTTCTCTCTCTATTCAACCCTCCGCCCTAGAAGCAACGCACCCCTTTTTTTCGGGTCTCCGTCACGCACGTCCTTCATTTTTTATCACTACATCCTTGATTTTTTGCGTTTATCACGTGTCCAAACTGCACACGTTCTGGTATTACAATCAACATCCATGCGATTAGTTTTTTTTTTTTTTTTTTTTTTTTTTTTCCCATAACAACATGTTTGGTATTTTTATTTTCGGACATTTTTTATAAACAATTTATTGACACGTTACGTTTGACCCTTAAACATCCTTTTTCGTCGTTACTTTTTGATTTCCTTTTCGTAAGTGTACCCATACTTACTTTGAAACGATGACTTTTCAAGTATTGTATCTGCGGGGATAAGAAAGATTAGGATTACTTGTCCATGTCTCAGAAAAGAGATCATTTCCGATAGGTATACTTGCTCCTTTAACTTTCAGAGAAAATACTCTGTAATTTTTAGTTGAGCCACTTTTAATTGATTTACATGCAGGTATGTTTGAAAATAAAAGTATATACGTATAGAGCCATCGATGGTCTTATAAATATACACGCTGTATACCCGAAAAAAAAAAAAAAAAAACGAGGATAAGGATCCTCTTCTTCCCCCATTCCAGCAGTGGTGTACGCGTGCGACCATTGGTTGTGGAAAAATGCACACACAACACCGCAGCACATCCAAAAGCTATTCTCGGCAATATCTCGCTCCTCTCTTTCATCTCCTCTTTCCCGTGTGTACCCACATCCCCTGTACTTGCAAAGCACGCGCATTTAACAAAGTCAGAGATACTTGATACACGCGGGAGATGCCGGACTGGTAAAAATATGTGTGTGTGTGTGTATATGTGCAAGCTCCTCCTCGTCCTTTCACACTCGCGTATACGCGCGGGCGCGCGTGGTAAAACGGAACCAAAAGCAGACGCCGATGAATCAGCAGCCCGATCGTCGAGTGCTTCCTCCCTTCTCTTCCCGAATTGCTGCATCGTCTTTGAGCGCGTGTGTAGTCAGTCGCTCGCACGATTCGCTCCACGCGACACGTCCTCTTGAGCAATGACATTGTCATCTCCGAGTCAGTATAATATATAAAAGAAAGGGACAACAGCGTGTACGGGAGGGGGATGATAATGTCTCGGTGTAATTGCTGCTGATGAGTTTTCGTGCGTGGAATGAACGAAAAAAGTTGAGGGTGGCACGCGATTGTTGTTGATGGTCTATGCAGTAAAAAGGTGCTTGCCATGCCGTTGTCGGCTCATGTCCGCAGAGGCATTTCTTGAATTTTATTAGGCGGGGAAAATCAATACGAGAGAATTTTGCCTCACCGCGGAGACATCGTCGGGGCTGAGATGGTACGTTTTTCTTACGATACTCACTGATTTTTTTTTTTTTTTTTTTTTTTTTTTTTTTTTTTTTTTTCTTCCTATCAAGCTCTGTTATAAATTATTCGACTACTTTAAGTGGCTCGTAATGTCAATTACGCGTACACTTCCGCGTGTAAATCGAATATATATGTGCACATTTTTTTCTACAAAATTCNAGCGAGCAAACTTTCTTTTTTTTTTTTTTTTTCTTCCTATCAAGCTCTGTTATAAATTATTCGACTACTTTAAGTGGCTCGTAATGTCAATTACGCGTACACTTCCGCGTGTAAATCGAATATATATGTGCACATTTTTTTCTACAAAATTCCGTAATAGTTGATTGTTGGTTAGGTCTAGCTGAACAGCCAAATCGATCTATATTATCAATTGTTTCAGCAGATCTATTAAATTGGCTATTTTTTTTTATGTCTCAAACAAAAAAAGGAAAACAATGCGAGGAGAGTGTTGTTGAAGGACCCATAGGTACTATTTTACTAGCTCATTTTCAACATGACATTTTTTATATTAAAAAACACATAGCTTAACACCCTTTCTTTTCATACTTTCCCGCATCGTCTATTTTGGAACTTGATCATATTGATGAGTGAGTAAGTTGATCAGATTATTTTTTATAAAATATTTATCAACATTACTGTAACGTACGCCGTAAAAAAAAAAAAAAAAAAAAAAAAAAGGAACTTACCACGAAAGATTGGCATTGAGCGTTGGTGCCATAAAACACGCTTACAATTGTAATAACCGCCCCAGTCAGTCAACTTGCAACAATAAACGGTAGTTAATAAAGATTTAAATCGCACCATTAAGGATGTAAAGTATACACCAGAGACTTTGCACCCCACGTGCTTAATCTCCTTTCGTCTCGTTCAAACGCAAAAAAATCCTAAAATTAAGACGGCACACAAGTCAAGGGAGGGACGAAGAGTGAGTTAAATAGTCATAATATACACAAAGGGTGAGATATGGTGTGTATACATATGTATACGTACACATACGGAATGCCAGACGTACGCGCGTACAAAAGTTATTCTCGGATGCCCTTCTCTGGCGACATTTTTAAAAGCACGGGGACACTTATATTCCAAAGCCGTGGAGAAATTTACCCTCTCCTTCCTGCCCCTTGTTGTTTTTTCTCTTTTATCGCTTGTTCCGTCTTTGGAGCCGAAAAACATCAAACATAAAAATAACAACGCGTACGCATACTGAGTATAACCCCACCTTTCTGTACTGTTGTTTATTTATTTATTTATTTTTTTGCCTTTTTCTCATATATTTTTCTTATTCTCGTGTTCTGGGAGTTCATATAGATGTAGGAGCAACCCCGGATATACAAGTGCGAGATCGAGTTTTACGTTTTTCTGAAGTAGTGTAGTTAATACGGTCCCTGCAATTGGCCACGATAGATAGGATATCTTTTTTTTCGGCAGGCATCCATAAATTGCCAGAAAACTGATCAAAAAGGAACTTGAACCTGATAACTGCATAGTATTCAATTAATTTTTGTATCACCAATTGAACGCATTCAAATGTTTTTCATCGCTCAAGTAAAAATTTGATGAAAATAATAAAAATTAAAATGCTAAAAACGCTCAAAAGAAGTCTTGAGATTTTCTGAATGCTCATACTGTTCTCATAGTTTCGGGAAACGAGAAGACGATTGCATTAATTTTTTTTTTTTCAGCCATCATCTGTTTACCATCACGCGAGTACAAAGAGATGGTACAATATGGTTTGCATGCGTATATTATATACCCAAAGGGGATAAGGAGGAAAGAAAGAGAAATCGCGATGGATTTTTAATTCGATGATTTCGCGGTGATGTGGCGCACAGCTTTTCGTTAGGGAATCCTGCTGTTGGTTGTTAGTAAGGTACGACTCTTGTGCGATACATATATACGTACAATCCATACACATACACTGGGCCTTTTTAGTAGTTCAGGTATTATAGAAAGCGACAGCGGAAAGCGCACGGCGGTGCTGCTCCTTTCGTAACTGTGGTCTAGGTCTTTGTGTTTGTTGATAGTAATCGAGTAAGTAATTGCTACTTTTCTTCTTCCTCCCCCTCCCCCTATTTTTTTTCTTACTCAAACTAGACAACTGTAATAGTAGTACATAAAGTATGTATCTATGAGTAAATATATTATTATGTATAGGTACACCTGTTTCAAATTGATTGGCCGCTCATTGTTTTCATTGTCGATTTTTTTAGAAAATGCCTCTCTTGTCGCTCGAGTAATTTTTCTCAAGTTAAGCAGTTAGAAGATTCAAAAAATTGACATTTATATGTAAAACAAATCATCAAAAAATTATTATTAATAGCTACGCTTAACGAGGTATCTCCAAATACGTCTCCAATCTCTATACAGTTTTATATACTCAATTGCTTACATTTTATGTATATGTATATACTTTCTGATGAGACACTCAACTGATGTGATGATCGTTTTTCCATTTTATTTAAACATGTTTTTTNAAGAGCTTTAGCGTTGGAGAAATGTATGTGACCCTGTCACGATGGGAACTACGAGGTGGGTGCGGGTGAAAACGAGTGCCGGCTACAGCTGCCGGATCGATTGTACATAGTTGTACCGCGAGTGTAATTCCCCCTATCAATCATTCAAGACCAATTGAGCTTCTTCGTTGATTGGAATGTATTTATAGATAGGTCCGACGGAGTTGAACATGACCGAAAAAAAATCCTCAAAATTTCAGATGTAAACGCGGGCTCTCTGTCGGAGCGTACGCTGCACAGCCTGGCCCTGTCCGCGTGCAACGGCCACGACTCGAGCCTCGTCATAAGCGGCGCGGAGCCGGCGATCCGCGTCACCCAAGCCTGCGGCGAGCACCTCGCGAGCAATGGCCACGGCAGTGCCGTCGAGCCAACCGCCACAGAGCCCACGATCGTCGCCGACAACGGTAGCACGGAGCAGCTGACGAGGATAGACGCTTGCACCGAGAGCTGTACGTCGTCGTCGAAGAAGCCGAGCTATTTGGGCCTCGCTTGCAGTATAAGCGGCTACAGCGGCATCACGAGGTACGACAGCAAATTACGCGAAGGATTCCGCTCGAGGGACAGCAGTCCCGGTGCCAGGCTCATCGTCAGGGACACCAGTCCGGCCGGTTTCAGGTGACTTGATACATATTTTTTTTTTTTTTTTGGTACATCATGCAGTTGATGGTCTTTAAGTCGAAAAAGACACACTTACTCTTTGAAATGACGCTACGGATACTCAAACCTTTTGTTTTTTTACGCGTGACATTCCTGAAGGTTTTTTTTTTTTATTCACGCTTCTGTATGTATTTCGGTTCACGTTGCACGTCGAGCTCCCAGACCGATAACTCTAAATCGACCAAACTGCGCTAATCGTTTTTCTTTTATCATTAAAGAAAAATAACTTTTTTTCCTTCAGTTTATTTTTAGAAACCTTACCCACTCTTCGGTGTTGAACTACTTATCACGCGTAGAAAGAAAAAAAAAAAATAAAAAGCTCGCGTCGCACTTGCAGTGTATGTTGTTTTTATTTTTTATCAAAAACATGTGGGTATTATACCATAACACTGGTGTACCAACATGGTTTTTTTTTCATCTCATTCACTTGTAACGATTATTCTTCTTGTCGTGATCTTGTCCATAAGTCTTTTTTTTCCATAAACACCTATGATTTTCCACTTGATGAAAATCAAAGTTTTTTCCCTTCCTAAACGATCCTTTAACGAGAAAACATTCCAACAGATCTCAAGACCCCAATCAGAGCCTGACCGCACAACCAAAGAGCCAGTCCATATCGCCCTTAGCGATGGATCGCCAGTGCAACGGTCTCGCCAATGGCGTGCGCGACGCCAAGTGCAGCAGCAAGTACCTAGACTCCAGGACCGCCAGTCCGTACTCCTCGGACGGCTACTCGGAGGTCGACCGGGGCATCGCTACCGGCAGGGACGAGTCCATTCTCGATCCCGTGCACACCAGCTCGCCCATCCGAAAGGTCGCCGGTGGAGCCGGCAGCCCCGTAGCTGCGCGCATCGCCTCCTACAACCAGCAGAACAACTCATTTCTGTCGACCTCATCGCCAAAGTGCTTCAATGGTGAGCAAAGGTGTCCCCCCCCCCCGACTGTTTTGAACGGCATTCCACTTGATCACTCCAAAAAATTCAAGATAGATTACAAAAAAATGTTACACCAAATAGAATAAAAAAATAATAAAGATAATCTTCATAGATATGTGACCAAATCATTAATAGGTATATGGGTATACGGACGGTGCTCGAGAATTTATAAACACTTGGCATGAGTATACATATGTACACACAAAACGCGATAACAGCCAAACAATACATCTGTCGCGCTCCGCGCCGACACTGGCGCCCCTTATCTCTCCGTCACCTCTCTCTCGAATAAACGTTAAACGCACAACACGATATTTACTTTCAGTTTCGCACACGTCGCACAACAGCTCGTCCGGCGTATTGAACGGCAGCTCCTCGCTGGACCAAGACGCCAGCCTCTGTATCCTGAACGCGAGCTCCGGCAGCGAAAAGTCCTTCATCCAGCAACGCGTCGAGCGCCTCTACGGACCAGGTGCTCTTGCCCAAGGGTTTTACAAGCGCGGCGGCTCGCCCCGTACCAACGGCAGCAAGCTCGCGGCTCTTAACGCCAGTTACGGCGTCGACAAGTCCATCATCGGTAACAATAATCATAATAACAACAACAACGACACGTCCGTTGTAGACGAGGCGACGTTGCGGGACGAAGAGGAGTCGCTCAGGAGCCTGCCTGTGCTCAGACACCTGCGCCCCGAGTTTCGGGCTCAGCTTCCCGTTGTCAGTCCGAGGAGGCCGACCGACGGCACCGAGCAGGTTGTCAAGCCTTTGAAGAGGTAAGTGATATGGTTCTTTTTGTTACTTCGCTCCTAAAAACGCATACAGCGTGTACATACCTACTCGTTTTTAAAAGCAACATCGATTTCGTGTGGTTACTATTTTATTTCGATTTCTCACTACTATACCGATCATTCACACTCATACTGGTTGTTTGCATACTCCAAACTTTTAGAATCTCGATTTCGTCTCAGAAGACCGATACCAAAGAAAATAAAGAAAACGCGGTAAAGCAGAAAAACGAGCCAGTTACGAACGGCACAAAGATGTCACCGAGCATCGTGAATGACGCTAATCAACAGCAGCAGCCTGCTGTACCAGAAGTTGTGCCTGCTACGAAGTCTGATGTGCTATCGCAAAACAATGGAAACGCTCGAAACGACAAGCCAGAACGGAGTGAGGATCAAGAAAAGGATGGCCATTATTACGTGAATGTATGCTCAATTGAAAATATTTGGAATGGAAAAATCGTGATATAACTACTTGTGTCCTGACGAATTGTCTCAACTTTTTCAGTTACTCAACAGAGAAAAGAGTAGACTGTTGGCGATGTCACAGCAAGCACAAGACGAACTCGACAGTTGCACTGAACTCGGTATTTCAGAGGACGTTGCAGGCAAACTGAGGTCTGCCATTGGAAAAACTGGACTACTGACTGGACAAAGAATGCATCAGTTCGAGGGTCTATGTCAATTGAATATCGTTAGTAATTTTACTTTCATAAATCAAGGACGAAATTTGAATATTGTATGATTATTAGACAATTACTCATTTGTAGAACAAAGTGCCTCACGAACAGTTTCCAACAACCAATGAAGATCTTGCTGGTTTTTGGGATATGGTCATGTTACAAGTCGATCAAATCGATGGCATGTACGCGGGTATTGAAGCAATGAGAAAATCAGGATGGCAAGAGGTAAGTCCAAATCATTAAATGACTTTCTGTTCAAAAAGAATTTGTAAAAACTCGATTTCTCGTAACGAAAAACAGGTACCAGACAGGCCAGCAGTACCAGAGCTAAGATCAGTGCCTTCAACGCCACAGAATGGCACTTCCGCGAGACGACGTCAGACTCCGGCCTCGAAAGCAAAGTCAAGCATGAATACCGAGGCAGCACGCAAGGCGCGCGAAGCTCGAGAGCAAAATCGCCGTCAAATGCTCGAAGAGAGAAGACGCGCGATGCGTGCGAACGCCAACAAATCTACGGACAATGCCATCGAAATTTTCGCTCCCGAAACGTAACAGCAATAGAAATTAACTCTACGCGGTAAAGATAGTTTTTTGGTCTTGGATGCATGTTGATTCAAAGCTTGTGGAGTTGTCGATTCGAGGTATCTGTAATGAAGTTATGTATTATTCTAAAAAATGTTATTTCTTCAGTTTACAGATTGGATAAGCGTGAGTGAATCAATGGTAATATTTAATGACGTTAAGCTTCGCAAAACATCGATTTGTGTGAGGCAGCAGAAAATCGAGCGTAAAATTTTTTTAAAGATTTTTATAGGAACCTTTTTTTCAAGTAAATTTCGCCAACGATAGAAGAAAAATATTTTTTATAAATTTGTGGTGATTTTATTGTAACACTTGGTTTAATCAAACGTGCGTGTACGTGCTGCTAGATAAAATTTCTTTTTTATTAAAGCTGGCTATTTTACCGCGTTGATGTTGAAATAAAATCTTGTAGTATTATACGGAAGCTTGTAGTCGCTACAACTCACATAATACGTTCAGAGCTTCCAATGTGATCGTGCAAGCACGATGTTCATGCTGTCTTGCAATTACATGAAAGCGGATATTTCAATAAAGTAATAAACATAGAGCTCATGAGCGAGATTGTATCTTACAAGTCTCAGTTTTTTAATTTTAAAATTTTTTATCAGCAAAACTGGAAAGTTACACGGCTGGAACGCAATTTTTTTACGAGTCTCCACAGTTTGTTGTCATCAGCGCCATCTAGCGGACGATTATTTTTAAGAAATCTCATGCCTCCGAAACCCTATATTTTGCCTGATGTGATTGAGTACGTTCTATGTTTGTTATTGTTTTTTTAGTGATCGGCAGTGCGGGTGAAATTTTCTATAACTAAAAATTTATAGTTTCTACAATATACAACAATTACAATATAACCTCAATCTTAAGGATAAACATAGATTGTTTCTTAGTTAAACACATGCTTTTTCCTATCTTTGCTCCAGAAACTCGGTTATTTTTTACACTTAATTTTACACTTCCAAGATAGAATGAATATCGTACTCATTGAGTGGCATCTACAAGCTTCCATGACTAGCATACAATTTTTGTAAACTCACAAATATTGCATTATTTTCGACATTATGAATGAATGTGTAAATACAGAAAAAAAAAAAAAAAAAAACAAGAAAAATGCGATAAACACGACAAATCACACATAAAATAATACTCTGGTGCATTGTAATTGTAAATATTCATTCCATAGGCATTTGACAACTGCATTAGAGCTTGTTTTTGTTTTGTGGTTGTCCACTTGGGTGAATTCCTACTATTTTTTATTACGTTTTAAATATAAAACTACCGACGTACATGTATGTAAAACACGCAATATCCATACCCACACGTACATTAGATATAGATACGACAAGGTTCTTACTTTTTTACTGTCAGTCATACGCGTAATTAAATTAATACTTTAATAATACTCAGCTGGTGATTGATATAATGCGTGAGGCACCTTGTATGGTGCCACCCCCGATTAAAGAAATAACGTATCATTTCTGACGGAAAAAAATGAAAATAAATCAGTTTTGTGTGTCTAAAATCGTTGAAAGTTACGGAACAATTTGGCCTTGAACGCTGTGCAAATGTGAAAATGAGTTGAAAATTGTATATATACAAATCACGAGTGTAATAGGCAATGTAGACCATATTTTTTCCCAACTAGTTTTCTGATTAGATTTTAACAAGTTTTTTTGACAATTAATCATTATCGTTTACATTTTATCCTCTTTACGGCTAATTGTTTTTTTTTTTTTTTTATTTAGTTTTATCAAGCAGTGCTTTTAGTTAACGCTTGAATTTTATTTTTTACTTTTGATGATTAACGAAATAACGTATCTGCGTACAACACGGTAGACTTACGTACAAAACAGATCTTGTTTATAAATTTAACGAGGGCCGAGGGAAAGAGGCTTCGTGGAGCCTTGAAAAATTTTTTTGATCGAGCAACTAGCTCGCTTCTTGTCTTTTTTTTTCTTTCAACATACAAATGTATGATTATTCGTTAAAAAAAAAATCAAGAGAATATTAGATCTTGCCGAGGCACACATGGTCGCACGACGCGCGATAAATTATTTGTAAAAAAACATTGTATTGCATAATTTGTAATAAATTTTCGATCGGCATTAACCAAACCCTTCATTGTTATTTTTTTACACTTCCATTACCTTGTCTTTTATCAAATTATTACCACAAATACTGAATGATTACATATTTATTCGTACCAACTAGATGTACACTTTTATTATTGATAAATACAAAAATCCGTTTACAGATCGCCAAAGCACGAAAAAAATAGGTATTTTTAACGCACACGTGGGTGGCACAGTACTAATATATACGCTGCGATACGCATCTCTGTGGATGGCACTTGGAATTCGTTCTAGGAATGGGCTGACTGGTTACTGGTTCTTCCCGTTGATAACGACTTAAGATAAAAGGCCTGCAGATCCGCCCTTTCTTTCTTTTTTTTTTTTTTTTTTTTTTTTTTTATAACAAATTTGTCTCAGACGAGACAAATGAGACTCTTGCCTTCGTTCACTTTGTCTTGGACTTTGTTACCTGCCGTCGACTTCTCGGCTTGGCCGCTGAGTATTGCACACACAAACGTCAGTAGGATACCGCAAACGGCACTGTAGAACGCCCAGCCTGAAATTTTTATCTTATTATATTGTTAATTAGGGGCTCTTCGCAGCATCGCTTGATTGATGCGGTACAAGGTTTGAAGTTTAAAAAGCGTAGAGTAAAAAAGCTGCACGAAAGAGTTGGTGTAATTATGCGATTGAAAGAACGATCGGCAAAGGGAAAAAATAAAACCATAGTGTACGCACCCAAGGAGCAATCGGCAAGATAAAACGCATCTGCCTCTGCGCCGCATATTCTCTGGACTCTTTCGGCGCCCCATCCGGCGAGATACAATATCATCCCAAGTAAATAAATTACTCCTGAAACATGAAACAAACAAGCGATTCAGTATTCACTTCATTTATTACAATCCACCCTTGTTGCATACAAAAAAAAAATTTTATTTGCTTCAAGTTTTTATCATTTTTGTATTCAGTGAATACAATCTGTCAAGTTTACATATTTTGTCGACGTTTTCGCACCTTTTCAATGCAAAACGATATGAGATTCTAGAGTAAACGGGTAATTAATGAAACAGTAGTTCAGTACTCATTCTCAACCCTGGTGCACGTAAAAACAAAATATAGGAGCGTAATTACACTTTCGTGTTTTTCAGAATTTGACATAATAATTAGGAAAAAAAAAAAAAAAAAAATTACCAGCAACACCCTGAGCAAGCCCGGCGAGATTGAAAATACTCTTGCGACCGACGCTCTGAACGCAACAACCGAGCAGGGCGGCTACGATCGTGGTGCCCATTACAACGAGTCCAAGGGCCATGAAGACGAGCGCGGCTTTCCAACAGGCCGGGAAAACCGACGGGTCTGTCGCGAAACCCTCGACGTTGAAATTGCCGCAGTGCTTGTGCCCGTACAGCCACGTACACCTGTTGTAGATGCCTACGGTAGGCGAGTAGTGCTCCGTGCCATTGTTTGCTGTAAAGTCAAAGGAGAAAATGGTGAATTTTTATGTGTATTTACACTATGTCTTTTTTTTTTTTTTTAATTTGCGATTATGATCAATTAAATCCTCACATATCGTTGTGCCTCTGAAGCAGTAGAATATTGAAGAGGAGCTTAACTAAATTACTAAATCAGCCATTCCATATATGGTTTAAATGTATAATCTTGGAAGCAAAGGACATAGATTTTTATTTTATAGGGATACATGACTTTAAAGTACATTAATAGTAACTGTAAAAGTACGTCAACGTAAAATAAATTACTACGATGATTATTATAAGGATACTTTAAACAAGTTGATAAAAATATACGTAATCGTATGTCTACTTGTTTTGTTGGATTTTGGAAATAAATTACAAAGTATTGTAAATTTTATCAAAAAATACCGTTACAGATCGAGAGATAAACATCTGAGTTATAAGCAAATTATCCCTTATTAATATATCATTGCATTTATTTAATTTTTTTCGTGTAGATAGCTTGCTGATACGCCTATACTAACGAAAAAATATTTGTGTGAAATAAAAAAAATGATATAAACAAGCTGTTATCAGACTTTGGCACATTTATTTTAAAAAAACTTAAAATTCTTTTTTTGAGTTATGATTTGCTTACAATTGAATGTATTGTTCGTATAAAAAAAATATTTGGATCAGCGCCATCTAGCGTTAGGGATTTTTGAACTAAAAAGTGGCCCTAAACTTTTGACCCACAGCATTAGCGCTTAGAGCCATTTAGCTAGTTATAAACTAGCCGCAACTTATTTAGTAGCTATAAAATAAAAAAATAACGATATATGTGTTTTTGGCGGCAAATTAACAATATATTTTCTACCTTTGCACTCATCTGTTTTAAAAAATTAAAAAATTAAAATTACTGTATTGTGAATAGTAAATAAAATGGACTTCTATCCATCTTCGCAGTTTCCGATTGAGCATCGCAAAAATATATTTTTATAAAGCCAACCATATCCCACCGATGGTGTCGTACACCCATTTTCCAGAAGTAAATGGGTACATCCGCGTGAATGAAAAAAAAAAAAATAAATAAATAAACATAAACTCATAGCTCACAGTATACGTACCCGTATTGGTCCTTCTCGGCGGACCAACGAGCCATCGAGGCGTTATGACGGCCGACAGGACGGCCGTGAACGCCAGCAAGGACAGCAGCGTCCAGCAGAGGCTGCGACTCGTCACTATAACGTAGCACATCCTCGATTTGAGTATCAGCTATAGCTGCTCCTTCTTTTTTTTATCTCGTCCTGTTCCTCGCCTACTTCTTTTAATTTTAGTTGACCAACATCCTTCAGCTTCCTCGCATGTACACTTTCTCAGCAGGGCTTCACTGGCATCTCATGTTTGTTTTTTTTTATTTTATCTGAAAAATTTTCGTAGATTTTACATTTAGTTGTATAAAAGGTACAGTACAGAATTTTAATCATTGCTTTAATTTTATAGAATATAATGTATGTCTGATTAAAAACTGGTTTTTGATCAATAGTAGGAGCTGTATGGCTGCTTACTTGACAAATAAAAAAAAAATTCATGAGAAAAAAGAAATTCATGGAGGTCGATTTTCAGGTAAAAGATACATTGTATACTTGCCGCAAATAGCACAGACAACGTTAACTTTTTATTGTCTATCCACAAGGTTAGTTGCGTTTTTTTTTTATTTAGTTTTATCAAGCAGTGCTTTTAGTTAACGCTTGAATTTTATTTTTTACTTTTGATGATTAACGAAATAACGTATCTGCGTACAACACGGTAGACTTACGTACAAAACAGATCTTGTTTATAAATTTAACGAGGGCCGAGGGAAAGAGGCTTCGTGGAGCCTTGAAAAATTTTTTTGATCGAGCAACTAGCTCGCTTCTTGTCTTTTTTTTTCTTTCAACATACAAATGTATGATTATTCGTTAAAAAAAAAATCAAGAGAATATTAGATCTTGCCGAGGCACACATGGTCGCACGACGCGCGATAAATTATTTGTAAAAAAACATTGTATTGCATAATTTGTAATAAATTTTCGATCGGCATTAACCAAACCCTTCATTGTTATTTTTTTACACTTCCATTACCTTGTCTTTTATCAAATTATTACCACAAATACTGAATGATTACATATTTATTCGTACCAACTAGATGTACACTTTTATTATTGATAAATACAAAAATCCGTTTACAGATCGCCAAAGCACGAAAAAAATAGGTATTTTTAACGCACACGTGGGTGGCACAGTACTAATATATACGCTGCGATACGCATCTCTGTGGATGGCACTTGGAATTCGTTCTAGGAATGGGCTGACTGGTTACTGGTTCTTCCCGTTGATAAC